ATGTGCGGATGACTTCTGGTCCATCCTTTGTGTGATAGATACGTAATGTCTGCCCCCGAGGGAAACGGTTGATCTTTTGCAGAGGCTCTCAAGGTTTCCCGTGTCCTCGCTCCAAAAGCTACATTTCACACACAAAAAAAGACAAAAACAAAAAAACCAAAAAAATCAACCAGTTATGGTAGAGTAAAAACTCTTTTTAGAGTTATCTCCTCTCAACTTCAGCTTTCCGACGAAATCGTCACAACACGTTGACTTAGTCTTAGTTCCCAGGATAATTTCGAAGAGGATGTATGGAACGAAGAAAGGACGTTTTGACTATCCACTAGCGCGATTTGAAGTATTAAATCGTTTGTTGTACAAACGCTGTTGCATGAAACCAAATCGTAGCTTGATTAGCAGAGGGATAAACAAGGTCATTTTTTTTTCTCGATCATTTTTCAGAGTGAAACGTTCATGGATAAGCAGAACAACAACAGCAAGTGTAAGCAGTGTCAGAAATGCCCACCGTCCCAGACGGCCACACGGCATTGCAAGCCAATTCACAATAGGGAATGTGGATGCCCCCCCGGAACGTACCACGATAAAGAAGTCTTGATTTGCTTAGAATGTCTGAAATGTAACGTAGGCTACGGGGCGGTGTCACCCTGCACAAATATAAGTAACACGGAATGTCAGCCCTGTCGGGAGGTACGTGTAACAAGACTCGATAATTTGTCCATAGTGATACAGTTATTTTGTTTCCTGAGGCGGAGATGAACATTTACCGGTAACAGTGCACTGTTACCCTCCTATGCGACAAATTTTTGCGATATTGCCTGCTCAGAGATTGCCCCTTGCGGTGAATAAGGACTAATCCTTAATCCTTTCACTCCCAAGATCTCATGAGTAATTCTCCTTACTGTCTGTCATACAATTATTATGACGTTAGGTCGGAGAATTTGATATTGGATCAACTAGTAATCCCCTAATTGTTATTTTTCTTTATTCTCATCACTTTTATGCTTGATATTGTATTGATATTGTTGGGAGAAATTCTCTCTTGATCACTCATGGAAGGTAGAGGGTTAAGCATATAACTTCCTGATATTTTTTTCCTTTTATGCAACCATTCAGGGAACATTTTCTGATCGCGTCAGTCACGAACAGGAATGTTTGAATTGCTCACAGTGTGATCCAGGCGCAGTGATTAAGGAAGAATGCACAGCAACAAGGGACACAATCTGCCAGAGAGCGAACAATTCACGGATTTCTACTGTTTCCCAAGTTGTCACTTCGGGTATGTTTTCACGTGTCACGAAAATTACTATGAAAAATTGAAATCAATTTCAATATCTCAGCGACTGCGCACCTACCCGTCCCCTAACCCAACAGTAACCCTAACTTGTTTCCCTTTAACTTTTGTCGAGTTAAGGGAGGGGGGGGGGGGGGGGGGGGGGCAGGTGCGCGTACTTTTTCGTTATATCATCACTCTTGTTCGGACCTAGCTTGTTCACGGTCATGATATCCAATAACTGACCAATATCCAGCTATCTTGACCTCACGTTGGGCCAGTAACGCAGATATATACTTAAGCTTTATTTCAATCATTTGCAGTCTCTCGAGCGCCTTCGGCACCAACCAATGCTGGACGTTCATTAAGCCCCGTAGAGAAAGTAACATCTAACTCCATAAGGTATATCATTGGCATCGTTGTCACTGTAGTGCTCCTCGTTATAATTGTTGTGGCTATTTACTGTTGCTGGAGGAAACAAAATCGGCATGAAGGAAACCAGGCTCATAACCCTCAAGGTAAGAAAAAAAATTTTTTTTTTGAGGTCAGATCGTCAGGCTAAGCGAAGTCTCATAAAGGATTGCTATAAGTAAACATTAGGGCTCTTATGCCAAACAGAACGACGACAATAACGAGAAAGTTGCGAATCAAACGATTTACTGAGGAGGAAAATAGCACCCCACGTGTTTTTTTTAAAACACGTTGTAGATTTCCTAATTCTCATCTGCCTAGCAACAAAGTGAAAACGACAAATTTTGCGTGGTCCGCGAACGAGAATCCTGACAGCAAATATTTTGCTTGTTTACCTGTTACTCATTGACACCGACACATATTAAAGAGGAGATCGCTATTTAAAACTGTTGGACGTGACGATGTTGACAGAATGCTAATTTGAGTTCTGCTTCCTTATTGACTGAGAGGATGACGCAAGTTTTCTCGACCAAACGCTTTGTGAAACCATGAAGAAACAATGCAATCCCTTGTTTTCGTCTCTGTGGAATATAACTCTGAATTAAATTTAATCCTAAGAAAATGCCATGAAAACTTGCAGCAACGCGTAGCTGGTAAAGTATGCTAAATGATGGACAGTTATTCAATTCTGACTCGAAGTTTGCCGATAAAAGCCGCCCACACACTCATTTACGTGCACCGCGCGATCTCTGCTAAATAAATCACGTTTTCCAGAATACTTGACAGTCAACAGCGTTGAAAACTAGACTAAAGCTATATTAGAATGTCTTTCTTCTTTCCTCTGGCTGTTATCCTGAGAGTGACTGAGAGACAGAATCTTTAACAAATTTGCTGTTGTTGTTGTAATTGTTTTAGAAATGGAGGAAGCGAAGTATGACTTTGTGCCGCCGACTTCATCGGAGACACCAGCTCACGCGCGATCCTCGTACGGACTTCGAGGAAGGCGGACGGTCTACTCCACGAGACCAAATAGTCATCAACGAGATTCTGACTCTCAGGGCAGTAGTGGCTCGTTACAGGGCGTCAGCGTAAGCAACGGCAAATGTAAGTATGTCTCAAATGGGAAAGAGCTCGGTCTGTATTCAAAATAATCCTTAAGGAGTTAGAAGAAGCGCGCGTTGCCGCGTGACACTTTCGTGACAATTCGTTCTGTGTGTGGTGTGACATTTTTGAACCGGACAATTTTTAGTTGATTATTTTCCATAGTTCAAATCTTTTTTTATCTAAGGCCTATTGCTATTTAGCATTTCCTGTAATCCTATTCGTGATCGAAGTAATTTTCATACTTTGCATTTGTTCTAACTGGATATTACAATCTGTGTGAAACTAAAGGATTGTTGAAGAACGCATGGGCATCATCCACAATCCAGAACATCTGCAGACATATTTAAATAAAGAAGGAATAAGGAAGAACCGAGAATGGAAATTATTACAAAACTAAGTTATAGTTCACGCTAGATTTAATGTGAAAAAACAATAATTCAACTCTATTCCGACAGAGTCATGTATAATCGTATCATGACTTTGACACTGGAATAGGTTTAAAATATTTTTTTTCACATAAATGGGCGGCTGGATCAAGAAATTTGTGCAACTCGCTGTATGCCTAATCGACGGTCTCTTTTAATATCAGAGCGTCTTTCCA